TTCTAGGTACGCCATTGATATCTACGGGATCCATTTTTGCTGACGTATAAACAGGAGTGAGAGCATTGTATCAACTGTTTTACCTTAGCCTACTCGACCCGTAAGATCAAGCTTTACTTGTCAGCACTGGCAGTGAACTCACTTTTGCTTATCATTTTCGCCCTTGCTCTGCTGGTGGTCGCTCGTTCCATCCAGTGAGTGGCTGCAGGTAAATCTCCTACAAAAAATGCCCGACTGACTTTTCCGGCAGTGAAAGCCATTCTTATACGTCTTGTCATGCAACGCTTCCTTTTCCTCGTAGCTTTTCTCGCGAGCTTGCATTATGACATTTTATTTAAAGATCATATCAAAACTCTTCAGAAAAGCCGTGGATGGACCCACAGTTGTCCTCTCAGAACGGTGTCTTTTCTCTGATTCTACAACGTATGATGCTCGAAGCACATGCGGCAAATGGCGCCATTCTGTCCAACTTCGGTCACGTATATCCATCCGGAAAAGACATTTCGATGCCTTTATTACCGCTTCCCCGGGGCGATTCACGCGCCGGCAACGTTTCGCCTTCGTCACAGCTTTGGCGAAAGGACAGCATCTGTGCGCATAAACGCCAGAATTTGGAAATGAAAATTTCGATGCTGAAAAAGCGAAAAGAGCGCTTGGTGGAGAGCCAAAGGCAAAGTGATTCATGCCCGAGTAGTGCAGAGGCTTTGCGAAAAGCCCTAGCCGATTCTGACGAGGGTGAGATCAGTCGGGAGAGCTCGGATGTGAAAAATGAGTGCATCCTAGACCTGGTAGGTGGGACGGATAGCGAAGCGGACGTCGGCAATGAGCAGGTTTGTTTGATTGATTAAAATTTCCTTCAAAGGAACAATTCTTTTTACGAGTCAAAATTCCTATCTTCAGGTTTTCAAATCTCCTCATGCTGCGGATGTACACTTCAAGAAAACCCATAAAAAGCCAGCTGTAAGGGTCCGTCATCATAAATCATTTGAAAAACATTTTGTAAATAATCTCTTCCAGCCTCCCACCGATTGTGAAGAATGTGGAAAACGTTTTGCATCTGCGTTCCAGCTACGCGAACACATATCGATCCAACATTTGTGAGTTTCCCTTTTCATCTGAATTTTTTAGACATGTAAAAGTCATTTTAGGAAAGAGCGCAACTTTGTATGCGAAGAATGCGGGCAGAAGTTTGGCAGAAGAGGAGGTTGGCTTTTATTTTGTATAGTTATACCATATTTTCATGCACAAAGTAAAGTTTTTTAGGATTGAGACGTCATGTACAAATGGTGCACCAGAATCATCTTCATATGTGCCCGTATGAAGG